CCGGCTAAAGAATCATTTAAATTCTTAGATAGCCGACTAAAGTGAATTTTAAATTAAGGATAACATCTTCACTTGCATCATTATAAAGATAATAATTATATATATATAGTTTTAGAAATTGAAATTTCAAAATTGAAATATTTTTTGAAAGATAACAACATACCAAATAAGAGTTCAAGTAGTAGTAAAAGAGTCATGTCGTAATCAAAGAATCGTTCATATTGTGTCAACATGTGTGCTTTGACAAAAATACAAGTTATTATTTTACTTTTTGGCTATTTTTAGGTTACAATGACACCAATGAGAATGGTGCAAAAATAAAATTATCACTACGAGATTTGAGAAAATATTATCTTTTTTCATGTACTGTTTCGTAATTGATATCTAACGATTATCTAGAAGGTTTAAATTTTAAGATTATTTACATATCATTCAAATAAATCGAATATTTAATATGGTTAATGTCAAATATCAAAATGGAGTCATACTGGGAAAAAAATTACTGGCTAAATAATTTTTTAAATTTTTAGATAGCCGATTAAAATGACTTTTGAATTAAGGATAATATTTTCATTTAAATTATTATAAAATAAATTATTATTTTTAAAAATAATAATTTATTTTAGAAATTGAATTTTTAAAATAATTTTTGAAAAATATCAACACACAAAATAAGAGTTCAAGTAGTAGGAAAAGAGTCAAGTCGTATCCAAAGAGTCCTTCATAGTCTCAACCTTTGATTGTTTTGTCATAAATATGAGTTATTATTTTTTGCTTCCGACTAATTTTATGATCCAATGACACCGGCGAGAATGATATCAATAAAGAAAACTTGAATTATATCTAGGAAATTTGAGAAATGGTTAATCTTTTTTATGTAGTGTTTCTTAATTAATATCCAATGATTATCTACATTTAATAGACAAAGTTTAAGTTTTAAGATTATTTACATATAATCTAAATAATCCAAATATATTACATAGTTAGTGCCCGCGCATTCGAGCAGGTGATAATACTAGTTCTCAGAAAAAGAAGAAAGGAAAAAAGATTCAGCAGGACCCGATCCACGCGGGTTACGGCCCAAATGGCTATACAAGATCTAGATTGTTCGATTTTCCAATCCACGCCGTCGAAACAGCAAAACCCTAAAACCCCCGAAAACCCTATTCTCCACCTCCTAAATCTCTATATATTCCTCGCTTCCTCCTCTCCTTCACATAACAGCAGTTTTTGACGGAATCTCTTTTGCCTACCTCTAACTTTTTTATTTTCAAAATCAGAATTTTTTCTTTTTAGGGTTATTGATTGAGGAATCAAAATTTTCAGTTTTATTTTTCCATGGGAGATCGGTGATGATGAATTTGAAGGCTTGTTTCTCAAAACATTCGCAGTGGCCGCCTAAGTGCTTTCGCCTTCGCCAGGCTTGAGAGTAAATGCTGCTTTTATCCTTCCTTGGATGTCTGAGATCCCCCCTTCATAATCGATACTTGAATCTTGCCTTTGTGTTCTTTGTGTTTATTTTGAATGTTAGCTGCTGTTTTTAAAATTGAATTATTAGACAGAGGATTTATATAATAAACCTTTATTAGTTTTAAGTGCATTGTGTTTTGATTGATTGAATCTTTAATTATGGTGGTGTCTATGATGATAAATTTGAAGGCTTGTTTCTCAAGACATTCGCAGTGGCCGACTAAGAGCTTTCGCCTTCGCCAGGCTTGAGAGTTTATGCTGCTTTTATCCTTGGATGTCTGAGACACCCACCTTTTCAACTTACCATTTTCAAAAATTTGAACTTTTGCCTTTTCAACCAAGTGATTTTTGGATATTTTTGTTATATTTTTTGGTGCTTGTTCTTTTGAAACTATAATTTTTGAAGCCAAATTTGGAATATTTATGTTTGATGTGGCTAAAGGTCATAGTTTTTTTGAACATTATGGTCTTTGTTTTATGAAATTAGGGGATTTGGAACAATAATGTATGCGGTGGCCCATACGAGTTTTGTGAAATTGTTTTTATGTAAATAGAGCAGAATGTACAGAGAATTTATACAATTAGCCTAACTAGTTTGTAGTTTCATTGTACTTTGATTTATTTTGTTGAATCTTAATCTTATGGTGTCTATGATGACAAATTTTAAAAAGCCTAAGTGCTTTTGCCTTCGCCTGGCTTGAGAGTTTATGCTGCTTTTATCCTTCCTTGGATGTCTGAGACACTATATTTTCGTCTTACAAGTATTACATTTTGTAACTTTTGATTTTTAATCTACCATTTTGATGTCAAATTTGAAATTTTTAGTGTTATCTGTGGCTAAAGATTATAGCTTTTTGGAAACATTATGATTTTTGTTTTATAAATCAGGGGATTTGGGACTAGAATGTCTGCCCCTTGAGCAAATGTAAAGTTGCTTTAGGGATGAACAAGTCCCTGATAATTGAACTCCATTCTTCACTTTGTCAGCATTGTTTTATTTTATGCTTTGCTGATCATTATCAGATGGTACACTTTTATATTTGGATTAATTTGGTAAGTTGCTTTGTTTTATTACTTTATCTTTTTGCCTATGATGATACCTTTTAAGGCTTGTTTCTCAAAACATTCGCAGTGGCCGCCTAAGTGCTTTCGCCTACGCCATGCTTGAGAGTGCATGCTGCTTTTATCCTTCCTTGGATGTCTGAGGCTTTTTCAGTACTATGTTCCATTTTTTCCCTTTTTCTCTTTGTGCCTACTATTTATAAATTATGTTAAAGATACTGTCTATTATTCCTCTTATTAATAAGATACAGTTTGAGGAGCTTAGGGTCGTAGGGGCATTTTGGTAAAACTGTAAATATTTTGGCCTAAGCCATGTGCTAACACTTGCAACTGATGAGCACTCGCTCTACTACCGTTTTGCTTCGTCTCTCTAGCTCTTCCCTCTCCAGGTCAGTTGTCTGTACAATTTTAACTACTTTTTCCAAAAAAAAAATCTTTGTTTCCCCCACCTTTTCTTGTTATAAGTGTTATTTAGATTTAAGATTGTGTTGGTTTTTAATTTGAAGAATGTAGTTATGCTGTTTTGAATCTGGCATATAAGATTTAGGTAGTTTCCGTCTTAAAATTTAAGCTAATTGGCGATATATTGCTATGCCTCCGCTTTGCATGTGGCTTTGCTCTTTCCATGGTTTAATCTTAATACTCATATGTTTTTAACTCTTTTAAAAGTGCAATAAGATCGGATTTGAGTTTGTATTTTAGATACTACATCCGGACTTGCACCTGTGTTTGAGAAATTGCCCGAAAGAAACTACCAACTTTGTGGACTCTATTAGGGAGCTCTTACACCCAGTTGACTGTGGCTGACCAAAATAAGCTTCGAGTATGAGTAAATGCCACAATGGATGACAACAGATTGAAGCTTTCTATAACCTGAATTGCCACCCAAAACCTACTACTTTCGGGCCTAGGAATTTTGTGAATCAGGTACGGTAATGTTGCTTTCAGGAGAAGTCTGCAAAGGAAAATCAAGTGCTTAATACCAACATCTTAGCTAACCTAATGGAAATATAAGCTAAAGCATTAAATGGATATACATACTAATGTAATTTTAGCAATAATTGAGAAAATTAATGATAAAAAGTTGCGGTGCAAGAAAAACTAAAGTGGCTAGCATTCAGTGAGCATCTCATAATGTGATAGTGCACATGTGTTGTAGTAAATGTTACCTTTAAATCTTAGTAGTAGAACACAATCGCACACCTTCACGTGCAAAAAAGCATTTAAACATTAAGAAAAATAATTGAAGGAATGAACTTTAAGCCTAGTCAGACACTTTAAATCTACCAAGCTTCACAAAAAGATGGAACAAATTCCTATTATGCAGGGGACAGTTGATCAACGGAATGTAGGTTACTTTTAGTAGAAGAAGCTCATATTGTATAGAGCCTTAACTCAATATGTTCGTACATGAATAGAAGAAAATCAGTTAGTAAAAGTATATTGCAATGAGTAAATTATATCCATTACTTAAAGTATTCTGTCTTTTACTATTTTTCTTCGCCCGGAGATGTGCTTAGATCAAATAAATGAAGCTAATGTTGGATTGCTTGAGCGTGTTGTTTGTTTTTCCCCCGTCTTTTTTGGTTAATTGAATATTTGGTGATAGCTTGAGCATGTTATTTTTACGTGCAATGAAGTAGTATAATTGTTGATATACATTACTAATCAGAAATGTTTACAAAATTACAAAGGCACAATATGTTGAAGCAATTACATTGGATTTTTGAAATGGTAGATAGTGATTGAGTTCATATTAACTTAGACATTAAACAATTGATATTGGGCATGAGGATTGACCATTCAATATAATTTTGTATTTCCGTCAAGTCTTTTGAACATACGAAACTGTTTATATCTCTTTTAAATATTTCACGAAGAACTTGGATGCAAATATCTACGGGTGAAAAATGAATCTGAACTTGCATAACCCCTGGATTTCAAAGAAATTAACAATTCTAGGGTAGTCGCATTCATCACGAAATGAGGTTCTCAGTAAGTAGATTTGTTCTACCAAAAGTCACACTAAGGTATTAAAATTAAATGACAAAGTAAATACCTATTTATATGCTTATCGCTGCCTTCAAAGATATCAATAAAAATCAAAACATTTTTCATCCCTTAAGAAGGTTCAAATACAAGGGGTAGCTATGGGTCATGCAGTGGATTTAACTATACTGATTGGATATGACTAGCTCATAAAGTAACTTAAGGAGATTTTTGAAATTCAGGAAGAGTTTCACACCCGAAATAAGTAGGAGTTCACAACGTGGTGCTCAATTAGTTTATTGCAGCAATGTGGTGAAAAAGATTTATATATGAAAGTGGTATATATTTTGATATATCATGAAATACTAACTACAACGATTGACAAATACAATGAGAGTATATACAATGCACAAAACAAGGCATAGTCTTGAAACTCTCATATGCAACTTACTAAGATCTTTTCTTTTTCGGGATAATGTTCTCCCTGATAGTCATACCTCCCCAGTTTCCTGGCTGACTTCTGTAGTCTTGATAAACTGGTTGTTGTGACTCTTCTGTTGAGAAGAGCATTGGGTAGAGATCTACCTACAGACTGAGTCTTCTACACATGTATCATTGATGGACTTCTCACGACTAGAATGCGTCAAGTTGCCAGTTACTTCTATGATGAGATGACAAAGACTTAGAAGTTATCGTGCTGAATATGGTGACCTATGGTTACTAAAATCGTGAAAAAATTGAATGTCTGTTGGCGTTTAGATTATTTATCAAGTAACAATTAGAAGTGCTGCTTATTTAAAAATATTATACTATTTCTCGGAGAACCAAAAATCAAGATAATGCTATCTGTGTATCTTTAGTGTTTGTTAAATGAATACAGGTGAGCCAGATGCAATTCTCAAGGTTCCCAGTAAACTGGATATCACTATTTTGCATAACTGGACATGCATGGCAATATCCAACTTCAAAATTTGATGGAAGTGGACTTTCATCAAACTATTATTTCCTCTGGTCTATGTGAAGTTGTGCATGTATGATGTGCTTACTGTGTTAAAATTGACTCTTTAGTGATTGGAAGCATGAAGCATAGACCCCTACTCACTTGCTACTCTTCAATCAAGATTTAAGGCAAACAGAACATGTATCTGCTTTTAGCTTGTCCAATAAACTTAGTTGAAAACTCTATGCCTTAATGTGTAAATGTTAAATGCGGAGAGTTAAAAAACATGTATTGAAGATGTAGTTAAAAACTTTATGCCTAACCATTTAAATGTTAAATGCAGAGAGTTAAAAGAGACTTAGGTGAATTTGTAGTCATAGCAATTTCAATGCCCAACTTGGGTCTCCAACTCCTTACTTGGGACTGTATTATTCGTTATGATTCTTGAGAACGGACGGGTTATCAATCAAGGTTGGCGATTCTTCTTGAAAAACTACTATTATCAAATTTTGTGGTCACTTCAATGTTAACTGCTACCTTCAAAGGTTTCTCTTTGATTTTCCAGATTTTTTTCCTTTTGTTTATATTTAAGATCTAAATTATTTTGATGTATAATACTAATCCAATGTAGTGAAAGATGTCAATTTTCTTGTAGTTTTAAAGAATGATCTTGCATTCTATGTTTATGACATTTTGCGATTGCTTGCAGACATTTTAAAATTTAATAATGCTTTCCATATAGATTATTCTGCCCATCGTTCGCCCTTAATTCTTATCAAAAGGTAAATAGAATTTAGATGCTTCATTTAAAGGCTGGCAGGTATATAAGATCATAGAATTGGCAGAACTTAAGTGATGGGTTGAACTAAATTGTAATTTTGCAATAGTAATTATCCATCTAGTCATGTTTAATGCACTAAGAGGGCAATGACTACGAAGATGATAGAGTGAAATTTCTCATTTTTTTCATGGCTTGGTAGATGAAGATGCAAAATTCAATTTTGCCTACCAATTGATAAAATTTATTGCCTAACAAACCGAAGAATTCTGAAAAATTATGAATCAAAATTTCAACTTGGAAGTGAATTTGGTAAATTTGAATGGCAACCAAAATATCAATTTGGAGGAGAAACTACATTATGAAACAAATTGGTGATACATAATTTGAACCAAAAATATGTCGTTTTTGAGTCTCCTTAGTTCATTCATATAGTTATAAGATCTTATCAGACATGTTTCACCTCATTTCATGAAACAATTTTCATTATCATCTTTGCATTTGTTATCTAAATCATCTTCATTAGTCCCATAGTCGGAGAGTTTGTTCATGTCGTTTTTCAGGATTGTCATGAAGCATAGATTTGCTATCTCCTTGTGTTTCGAATTGTCTTCATCACTCTAGCTTCCAAAAGATTTGTTTTTATTAATAAGATTTAGGCATTCAGCTTGAACATGCCATCTTCTACACTTATAACACTTTCCATCATTCTTGTCTTGTTCATTATATTGTCTGATTCGCTTGGGTGGCATCTTGCCTCTTCTTATATTTTTGTATTTTCTCATTAAACCATCCATGTTCCTTGATACTATGGCAATCTCTTCTTCAAAAGCTTCAGGGTCGTCATCAATATCATTTTTTATCCTTTCAGTTGTAGCTTTGAAAGTGATTGTTATCTTCTTTTCTTCCTGGATTATTTTCTTGAGGTGAGTTTTCTCGAATGCTATAAGATCTCCTTGAAACTCATCATATGAAAGTTATTTAGATCTTGTGATTCGAGTGCAATTATTTTTGTCTACCAAGTGGTAGGTAGGCTTCTTAGATTTTTTCGAACTTTATCATCACTTGAGTATGGTTTAACAAAAGCTTTTAGATTGCTAATGATTTTGCTGAACCTTGCAAACATTTTTTCAATGGATTCTCCTTCTTTCATCTAGAAGAGTTCATAGTCATGAAGCGACATGTTGATGTGAGTTTCTTTCACTTTGCTAGTTCCTTCATAAGTAATTTCCAGTTTATCCCACATTTCTTTTGCTGTATCACAACTTGAGATTATCTCATATTCATCATCTTAAGCATTATAGAGTAAGTTTCGTACTTTGGCGTTGACTTGAACAACTGCCATTTGCTCGTCTGTGTACTCATTTATATCTTCTGGATCACCAGGTGGTTGAGCAGTTGATGGTAGCGGATAGTTCCTTTTTTTTTTTTTGTTAATTTGCTATACTTTGATAAGCATATATTTCCATATACACTTTCCAGTGAGAAAAGTGTTGTCCATTGAAATATGGTGGTCTAACTTGCGATGTTCCTTCTTGAAAGAGTGCTCCAATAATAACTTGATTTGTCATGATCTTTTCTCACAAGCTGTTAAGCAAAAAGTATGAGACTAGTTTTGATACCAATTGAAAGCACAAGAG